CTCTCCTTTTTAAATTTAATTGGCATATTTTTAATTAAATTTATTTATTGGTCCATTTTTTATTGGTCCATATTTCTACTTTTTTTTCTAGTTATGTCAGTGTCGGTCCTCCATACTGCAGAACTTTGACGAGGTAATTCAATGTCTGAATCAGGTGTGTTGGAGCAGGGAAAAACATAAAACCTGTAGGGCTGTGGCCCTCGAGGACCAGGATTGCCCACCCCTGCAATACACGATGGTCGCCTCAGACAACTAAACTTAGATGGCACAAAAATGACTATAACTCAGTAAATGTTTACAGTTATTCAGGTCAAATTTTAGCGTGGTAGAAGACGAGTATATGAACTCTGAGCACAACATATTTAGCCTAAAACTTTGGCTTTAACCTTTGGAGTAAACTCTGTCTGTTAGCAAAATATCTGGATGGATTTTAATGATGCATTCAGGAAATGATAATTTTTTTTCAAAGTCTTTTTATTGGAAATGATAATTTGATAAACATCTACAACTGTTTAAATTTTGGAATCAACCTAACGCAAGATGGTTGCCACAAATAACTGACACAAATAAAGCTATTTGACTTTAAAGATACTGAGTTAAAATTGCACATTAGCTGAGAGTCATTCACAACACATACTTTGTGACTGATGTCTTTCARTATTGGCATGAAATTGTGCAAAAAATATTTAAATGTCTACAACTTTATTTTTTCAATGTAAGAATATTTTACTAGGATCATCTTAATTTAAAACTCTAGCTTGAAAAACAGTGGGCAATACGCATTCCTTCCCAAAAAGCTAAACCTTTAGTTTTCAACTTTTTATTTATTTTTTTTATTTATTTTTAATCCTGTAAGGGTTGTTTGTGTTACCCTTGTAAAGTAAATCAGATTTCAGAGTATGTCAGTCAGTGACAGTCAATGTTTCAGATTTATTGGATATTTTGAGTTTAATCTAGACAGATTTTCCAAGTAAATCAATAATCCCACTTATTGGATGGCGGTCTTCTCAACACCCCATGTGGTGGTTTGCAACGTGGAAGACAAAAAGCATCAAGACTGTGATGGTGTTGTGGAGTTGGACAGCAGATGGCAGTACACCATTTTTGAAAATTCAGGGCTTTACCTTCAGTTGTTCAGATGCAGATCTTATCTGTTACGCCTCCAACACTGAGTATGGCCTCCTAACACACTTGAGACGATCTAAAAGTCTTGTAAACTGAATTTAGTACATGTTCATTTTGTCTTAAAATTATTTGAGTAGATTTGAGGCTGCAGTGTTAAATCTGAAATAATAATAATAACAATCTATTCTCCTTAGCTTCGCAATAACGTATTTAGCAGATAATGCAGGACAAAATGCAAACTCTTTGGTTGGCCAAATAGGCAACTTTCCAGAACACAATAATAAAATTAGATTAGTTACTAAAAATGGTCTAGATTTGACCTGATGCATTGATTAAAAATAAACCACTTATTTGCCTATTGGCTTTGTGATTACAAGAGAGAAAAGTTGGCTTCCTGTAGCCTTTGAAAATTAAATTAGGGTCGACTTTCTGGTTTAAGGTGATCATTGCTTGAACAATRCCAATTCTTTATTATTGTAGTTATTGACGTTATAATATTACCCATAGCTTGCTCGTTTATCTCTGCTTATTGATGAGTCAGTGCAGACACTAAGTACCTTAACAGCCCCCCTCCTCAATTAGTGAGCTCAGTTTGCCTAATTTAGTCTTCTGACAACACTATAAGGATGTTTCACGTAATTTTATGCCGAAGGACAGTCAATGTTGAGACCCTATAAATTGCGTTTAAGTGGATTAATAGTGTGCTGAGTCTGTGTGAGGAAAGTAGTGTTTTCCTCTTTCAGTCGAATGATTAAATAGGTTGTATTGCAGTGAATGTCTTATACAGTCACCATTGTTTACAAGCGCATTAAAAGTCTTCTTCATTTGGAATTGTTACAGTTGTATGGCTTCAATAATTATTCCAAGTGGGTGCTTTGTTTTCTTTTTTATTAAAATCTTGACTTGAGCCATTGTGAAAAGTCAGTAATGCAGTGCTGTTAAAGATTTATGATAACCGTATATTCCAAGTACTGTTGGATTTGTTCCTCTTTTGCCAATTGTTTGTTCAGGGCTGGCCCTGTGGCATAGGCAATATAAGCAAATGCAAAATGTGCCATTTATTTAGGGGGTGCCACACATAGAGATTAAAACACTTTTTTTTTATCAGAGAAAATGTTGATTTGGTTACTCAAGTTTATGAAGGTAACTTGTTCTGTGGGTTTCTTGGCCTGCTTTCATACTACCTGATGTGTTTTATGGTACAGAGGATATTTTGTAATTTAAAGTATCAGATGATGCAGTCGAGACTAACTTACTGGTGTTTAGTGTGCAAATAGAAAACACAAAAAGGATAATGGACGTTTCAGTTATGATCACCGATAAAGTTCACATTAAAGTCTTATTTTTAGTGTTCTAACTTCACAAAATACTGATTATATANTATTTAGTTAAAAGCTCTTCAAATGGCTGGAACATGCATAGTTTTGAGAAGAACTTTTACAAATTTTTTTTTAAAGATGTATACCCATGGACTCTTYTAGAACTGCTTCTCTACAGCTGCTCGTTAACATGAACAGGTGTACCTCGTTGCTGTCAGCAGATGTTATGAGGTAGACTTCTGGTATTTTTTTTTCAAATGAGTTATATTATTAGTTATTTTAATTGGATAACCTAGTTTCTAAAGAGAGGGAAAATAATATCAAAGACAAAACCTTTTTTATTATGAATGTATGTAAGCTGGCAGTGAGATTTTGGAAATTGCACAAGGAGTGCCGCCTGAAATCGGCTTAAGCTGGGCCTGTGATTGCTGGTTTGTGGTCATTCTCAAAGGTAGTCCTAACTTTGAGATGTTGGAAGAAAGTAGAAGTTGCTGTAAAAACACTGAGACCCACTAGAGAATCAACTTAGAGGTGGATTGTCCATGAAACTGCTTGATCTTGACCTGAATGGCTGCTGTTACGGCTCCTCTGATTGTTATAACCTTAACCCTCTGACACACACACATGCACGCACACACACACACACACAAGGTTTTATCTTTGAGACAAATCAGACTAATAATATATGCACATGGTCACATTTGGTGGGGCACAACTGTTCCAAACACTTTTTTTGTTTGGTTGTAGAACAACTGCATACAAATGTAATCCCTGTCATCTGATAGCCTCGTTGGCTTGGAATTCCTCTAAACATAAGAAAAACGGAACAGCCCCTTAGTGCTACTGCAGTTTTATCACCTGAGGTGGTTTGTCAGAATATAGCGTACCACATGTCTCATTCAAAGGGAATGGCAGGTATGTGTCAGTAGTCATAAATTTCAACTTGCCTTCAGCAGTAATCAGTTGCCAAGGAAACCTCAAATGGGATTATGACCTTCTGTTGTGTATAAGCAAGTAAACTGTTAGAGTTGTCAGCATCCAGGAGAGGAGCATAAAAGATTTATGTCAGTAAACAATTTATTTTCTCATCACACTAAATTAATGTGAACGGTGTTGTGGGGTGTTTAAGAAATCAAGTCTGGAACATTTTTTTTTCTGCCCATAAAGCTATTATTCAAAGCAGCACGAACAGTTTCGATTTGAAATAATACCGATAACTCTGAAAATGGTGACGTCAATTAGAGTGTATAAAAAAGTGTTAGATGGGTGGAAAACAAAGAAAGGACCAGCAATACAGAGTGCCTGGAAGGAGGGCAAAATGTTGGGAGGGTGGGGATAGATGAAAGAGTGGTGGTAGTTGGTGGTGGTGGGGTGGGGGTGCGGTGGTATTTAGTATGCACGGCCAAGCTGCCCCATCTGCTTAGCGCAGCAGTCCCCGTCGTATAACTGTCTCCAGGCCGTGGGCCACATAAAGAATGTCTCAGATTTGATGTAATTCTCCAAAATTAATGACAGCTTTACCCGGTATGGGCCGTGAGGGAATGATTAGTGTTTGATCGTCCATCTGATCAGTTCCCTAAGCTGGCTGCAAAGAGCTGTTCCACTATGTGCTGCTGGTATGCTGCCTACGGCGAGCACACACACACACACACACACACAGACACACCTTTCACTGAATCCCCACTTTTTTCTAAGTGAAGAGTCCCCATGCTCTCGTTTATGTTTGGGAGCTGGTTTTCCTCAACAAATACAACCAGTGTCCTGTTATAATCTCATTGCTGGGGACACTTGCCATCGAAACCAACAGCTATTGCAGGGCTCAGTGG